AAGAGCTCCTGTGTGTTGCTGAATGTGAGCATTGATGACTGAAAGACATCTTCTGCCTCCATTTATCTGTTTACTACAAACTGTTGGATTCATGTTAAGGTGGATTTAGAGACATTTCAATTAGTGGGAAAAATTGCAGGAGGGATATAAAAAAGGTCTAATAAACAGAAACTTTTGCGACCCTAGGGGGCACGGACCCCCTGTTGAAGACCTCCGACTTAAATATAATTTTACTAGGCCATCCAATCAGTTCAGTTTAATCTGTTAAATAAGCCACCTAAAGTTCCTTTAAATGTCCAGCAGGGGTCAGTATTCTGTGAGACCGTATCAACACAGCATCAATAGTTTGGCTTTAAGATGCCTGATTAACCATCACTACTAACAACCCACCAGCTTTTATAGGAGAACCATGTTCATCACAACTGGACCAGTGTTCAGTCAGACCAGCAGACCCAAAGTCAACACCCGTTTATCCCTTTAGTCTATCCCTTTAGTCTGTCCCTTTAGTCTATCCCTTTAGTCTAGACTTTATGTTGTCTGTATCTGTGTAGAGTGATATTAACCTGGAAATAAGGAATATTTACATTCTCTAATGTTCAGGGATATTCATTTATTTTTTCTAAATAACTTAAAAATGGAGATTTAATTGTAGAAAATCTTTACTGAATATCACAAATCAGAAATAGAGAGAAGAAGCAACGCTTTCATGATCTGAAACGATGCATTCGCTGTCCGTCAGGCCCTGAGATTAATGAGGCTCTGCTGCAGCTTCCTCGACGTCCTTCACCTCGATCAGCTCCTCTATCCGCACCAACACGCTCTCCATCATGTCGAACGTGTGCAGCGCCGAGTGCAGAGCCTGAAAGGACCCACAGAAATTCATTCAAAGTCAAAAAAAGCTGCTGGTTACGGCGTCTAGAGGCGACTGACCTGAATCTGAGAGTCTGTTGTCATTTTAGGCAGCTTCTCCCCGCCGACTGATACAGACAGCACCGCCTCCTCTGTGGAAAACACACAACGTGGCGTTGAGAAACACGCCGCCTCTGCTGGGAAGGCTTTGGTGACTCTCACCTTTAGTTTTCTTCTTTTTGTTCTCCATGGTGTCGTGCAGCTCCCGCTCATAATGAGCCCTCGACATGTTCAGCCCAACGCGCAAAGGCTTCATGAACCCGTCTTCTATTTTATACAGTTCTGTCCAGATGCCCGTCTGCAGGACCCAAATCATTAGTTATGCCTTAAATATTTAAAACACCCCGATGAAAACGTCCAGGCTTCCTTTAGGCCCGTTACCGGGCCGCCCTGCCGCAGCTGGTCTGCTGTCCGGACTCACCTGGTTCTCTGTAACTTTGTCTCTGATGACCAAGTACCGCAGGAGGTTCAGAGACTCCATGATTCTGTAGGAAAAAGAATCCACAGGAGTCTGAGACGAAGACGAGGTAATGGGAGCTGCTGGATTAGCTTTAAAGGGTTCATAGAATGATTCTATAGGGTATCTGGTCCTTCAGGTCTCTAATAGGGTGATAGGATGTTTCTACAGGGTATCTGGTCCTTCAGGTCTCTAATA